CGCTTTGAATTAATTTATATTTATTTAGTTTTAGTGAGAGAGTTTCACATGGCAGTAGATCAAGTCATAGTTGCTTAAATAAATGCAAATGGAACACAAAATATTTGTATTTAGGCCGAATCCCTATTTTGCCAGCCAGTCTTTCTACAAAATAATCTCTCGAATTATCCGCGGTTGCTGTGTAATTTAATTTTTCGTCCGGTAATGCGATTATATCACGCAATTAATTTCATATTCAGTGACGTAATATTCAATTTCCGCGAGTGTTGGTGTCTGTTTATTATGCACGTTTGGGCCACCTAAATTTTTCGTTCGTATTATTAAATTTTGCAATTTCATTTTCCATATTCCTGGCAACAGCGTTGTAACATTTATCGGATAATCCGCTCAAAAGTTCGCTGCTCCAAGAAATTTTGAACAGTTGAAACAAATTCAACAAGTTGAAATTTCGTAAGAAGCTTTGGTTATAAAGAGAAAAATTACATTATCAATGCGTAAAAAGAAGAACAAAATGATGCATTGTTTTACAAGTATATCATATTATTATTTTATTCTATCGTTTCATCATCAAACTATGATTAATTATTACAACGTACATAATAAAGTTCTATTTGTAGACTTTTGCGGTAAACACAATACCATTTCATTTTGATATAACTGGTTCATAGAATTGATAGCAGAAATAGTTTTGCTTTTGTCATATAACATTCTGTAAAAGCTCGTGTTACATCCGCGCAATAAATTTAATTTCAAAAGTTGGGATCGTTTCGACAGCTCTAAAGGTTACGAGAGTTTGAGACGCGCGTAATCGCGTCTTTCACATACATATAGCACGTGAGAATGAAATGGCGTCGGATGTCTACCTCAATTCTTCTTCAGCTTGACATGCAAGAAGCATACTGATACGTATATCGATCTGCTCACGGTCCAATTGGAGCAGCGAGGACGTTACTCCGATTTCAGTGATGTTTTGGCGATGATATTATTCTTGTCACGATAGTAACGGAGCTGTTGACCGAGCTCCAGTTTCTGATTCTGATGTTAATGGCGCGGACCAAGTGTCGTTTTTCTTTTTTGAAACAGAACTCTCTGATTCTCTTTTGCAGACTGAGTTCTATATGAACTTTTACTTCTATCAACCCTTTTACGCGTGATTAATCACGATATGGCTGTCACACGAATATAACTATAATTCACTGTTGCTGGGCTACAAATGTCTAATAGTGGAAGCTACAATATATATGTCGGTGCTATCTCGAAGGGATGTATAATAAATTATTCGATTAATCACGCTTAAAATTAATCAGGCAAGATGATATAATTAGAAAGGATACAGTGAAATTTATATCAAGAACGTCAAATAGAACCAGTTATTTTTAATTATAAATTAATTACCTTTCCGCCAATGTTGGGCGCGCTCGAATCCTTGATCGGCGGAGTAGCCGACGTGCGAAAGCGGTAAACGACAGCAAACGCGACGTCAGCTCAAAGAGCGGATTGTATCTCGGCCTGTACAAACATGGACAGGGTATAGCTGCAAAGAAAAAAAAAACACCAAAAAGACGATAAAAATGCCGTCTGGTGTATTAATGTGCAATTAAACGAGATGTATGCGCGTACCATACTTTAGAAGCGTTTTCATGCGTAACACGTTACGAGCGGCGCGCACCGAAACGAAAGCGATATCGTGAATCTGGACGATGCGACAGGGCCTGGTACTCATTGGATAGCGTACGCGAAGAGGAACAACCGCGTGTATTTTGACAGTTTCGATAATCTTCGATCGCCCAAGGAACTGGTGCGATATTTCGAGAATGGTGCTATGACGATACAATTGCATTGTCCTATTAGACATACGATCAGAGTTTCTGTGAACAGATTTGCGGTTTCTACAAACGGTAGACGCGCGTGAATTTAAAAAGCTTGACGAGATGCTGTGAAATCTTAGTATTAATCGAACGCTTTTTCCGTCATGTTATTGACGCTTACGCTGAGCGGGAAGAGCACCGTCCTCGCAGCGAATTACTTTTAGATTTAAGTGACGGAGATTACGAGCTCGGTCTTGCGATTTTTGAGACTTATCACGATACCGAACGTAAACGAATCGAACAACAAATTTTATTTCACCAAAGACGACATGGAAATTATAATTCCCGAGGATGAAGTGTGAGACATAAATAAATTTTTGAAACGCGCGATTTTACGGAAACCGCGACGCGCTTAAAACTGTTGACGTAATGGGTGATGACATGAATAACAATAACAACAACAATGACATCGATGATAATAATGGTGAGGGTATAGAATATCCGCGCAAACTACACTACTGACGATGAGATGCGAGATTAGATGTGCATACAGAATAAACTTTGACAAGCTCAACAGTATTGGATCGCTGCTAGGATTCTCGTCGAAGCGTATACTGCGATTGCGAAAGTAGCATGAATCGGACGTCGATCAACATAATGAATGTAAATGTTATTCGCGTAGAATGTAACTTGACCGCGGGCGCGTACAGTAATAGCAAAAGCACGCACACGATATACGAATTTTCGCCGAACGTGTCTTCAGGATATAAAATATCGGAAAAGTCGGCGCAGGTCATTTACCTGCCGATCATCGCACGGAACATTACGAATCTAATAATACGCATCGTCGACCAGAATGGACGATTGCTCGATTTTCGAGAAGAAGAGATCACCATTAGCTTGTACGAACGACGATGACAGTGATAACGTGAGCGTGAGATGCTGAATGGAACGGAACGTACGCAGAGAGATAACACTTTCTTTACAAAGCCAATGACGTCACAGCTCGATAACACTCACTCATCCAGCTGCATCACACAGAAGAAGAAACTCAACGTCAAACGTTATATTTTTAAAAATCTTTGGAATTCGCGATGCGCAACATTTGAGATGACTGATGTAATAACATTATAAACATTAAAGACGAGCCGACGATCGCTTCGTCAAGATTGAGACTTACACGTACAACTCGTTGCTATCTCAAAGCTATCTTCAAGCTCATCTGTTGTTTGTTTTAAAAATTTTATCATATCTAACTTCACCATTTGATTGAAAATATATATTATTTAACAATTCTCATGGCCTTGTTTAGTCAATTCGATACTTGGAATTTAAACAAATATATTACGAAAGTAATTAAATAACACGCAAAATTTAAATTATTAAATAAATTCTATTAATATTTCTATCAAAATAATTTAGTTGGTTTAGTTGTTTCAACTTAGATGGTTGACGTAAACTATATATTTGCAAGTACAATTAAATAATGGTTGAATCAACCATTGAATAAACCAATCATAAAAATTTTGTCCGTATAATCAATTTTTTTTAGTGCAGGCAAATGGGATGTAGACAAACGGTGCTGTAGGCAACAAATTTGTAGGCAAATGGGGTTCTCCCATTTTATTTATTAATTTGTAACTCAATAATACAAACATTAATAATTGACATTTGTTTTCATGTGTTCTTCAAAAACAGAAAAAAGTCGCAGAAACATATATACTTATATTATAAAATAAATCAGTTTTAATTATACATTTATATATTGATATATTTTTCTAATTTATGTTTTTCTTCTACGTCATCATGAAAGAACTGCGCACTGATTATATTTATTAAGAATATCCATTTATAACATTCATACATTAACATCATATATGTTTCATATTTCATAGCACTTAAGACTAGAAAACCTCTAGAAATCGAGCAGAAATCAGCTGATATAATTTGATGGCAGATTGGCAGCAAAAATCGAACAAAATCATTTTCATATACGGCTTCGCCACGAGAATAATGACGAGATCGACTTGTTTCTCGTAAGAAGAACGTCCAGGAATCCTATAAGAATTGGCACATATAAATCGAATAGGCAAATCTCTTAGAGATTCCCAAGCTCTTTCGAAATGTGCTTTCTGAATCTCTGAATATTTTTTTCACTATTTTATAATTTTTCCATATTTTGAAATGTGAAGCTAAATATTTTAGCAATAAAACTGTGAACTTGATTGTTTTCAGTTTTTATACCAGTATATACCTATATAAATACCTATATAAATATATAATTAACCGTTTATATATATGTACGCAAAATTTCTTATAAGAAACCAAGTCGATTTAAATGAAAATAACAGGATCTTGTTCGATTTCTGCTGCCAATCTGCTGTCAAATTATGTCAGCAGATTCTGCTCGATTTCTGCTCGCAATCTGCTATCAGATTCTGTCAGCAGGTTCTGTTTGATTTCTGCTGCCAGTCTGTTTGCGTAGAATGTTAATAGGTTTTGTCGGCAGAACAAGAGCAGAATGTGACATCAATTGTAGTCATCAGTTTATTAATATCTATTACAAGTTTGTTGATATCCTGCTAATATTTTGTTATCTGGATCATATGTAAGTCAATCTCCAGACAACAAAAACTTCAAAATCGAGACATAAAATATCTTTTTTTTTAAATATTTTTAAGACATCTTTAAGATGTTAATGTTTGTTTAATCCTTTAAGAAGATTTTAAAGTGAAACTCGGACTCTGGCGAGATCGCTATTTTACCGATAAAATATAACACATCGACACATATATCTTTAGATACTGCATATCTCATACACACATATAAATACTTAAATTTTCGTAGGACAATAACATTTTAATTAAATGTTTTCCAACTAATTCATAGAAAGTTTGATTCGTATTTCCAATGCGTTAAAGATTTCGTAACAGCGAAATAATACATTACGGACAAATACCGATTTGTAGATATTGTGAATACCGAACATTTTTCACGGGTTTGCGCGAGTTATCCAAATTTTATGTTGATCGATATCTAAGGTCCATATCACGTTTGTAATCCGCAAATAAATTTGGATCAATTAACCGTCTGACATATTGTATAACAATTGGATAATTGCACGGAACTGAACTAATTCGGTATCAAATCATCAAGTAAGATATTTCGCGTCAATATCAAAGGATTCTCATCTTACGATAGGCTACAGGAATTCCTTTTGGAATCGGAACGCTCACGAACTTGTTGCAAATGTTGTAATTGAGTCGCGGATGGCACGTGGCTACTACTGCTGCTGCGCGAGTTTGAATGTTGCGGAGGCGGCAAAGATTGTCGACGGCGATGTTGCAATGCCGGACTCAAATCATATTTCAACTTCGCTTGGATAAGAAGTTCCTTAAATATTTGAGAGATATTGAGATCGTCCTTCGCAGACACTTCTACAAAGCCATTTTTCCAAGTCGTGGTTACAAATTCTTTAGTCCTTTCGGTGTCCACCTATAATCAATCCATTTTACACTAAACAATGAATATGTTTAACATTTAACGTGCGCGCTTTATCAGTTTTATTTATTTTTTAGTACATTTAAGTTTCCTCTTAATTATCTGTCACAGTTTTAATTTGTCATAAAATTTTTAATACTTTGACATCTGTGCCTAAATATCGTATACAGGCAAAGTTAAAATTTTATGTTATTATACGCTTGTTTAAGTTAAGAGTGTTTAAATTTATGACATGTTCATGTTTTTATTATTATTTATATTCGATTTAGAAATATTTCTTATGGATGAATATATTTACAAAAAAGGGGTTGATTTCTGTTCACAAAGATATAAATAAAAGAAATTGTGCTTTTTGTAAACGACTATATGAAACGATTTATATGAAAAAAAGTTTTTTTCAATCAATTTGCTTGTATTTTTGCTTTTTATATATTGTACTTCTTGCATCCCTAATGAAAAATCTCAAGTTACAACATTTCTATGTCTAATTTAATCTAAATTAAAAATATTTGAAAATCTTTTTTAAGAAGTCTGTTCGTACGTTCCATAGTGTGAATTAAAAGATGCTCTGTTTTCAGATTTCAATAGAGAGACTACGAATTTTCAAATTCTTCCAAATAAAAAATTCTTATAAAACATTTAACAACGTTTAAAAAAACCTGAACTTTAGTCAGATCGACACCGAAAACTAAATAAAAAAACTGAAAAAAAGTTTTCAGTTCGATTATGGTTTCGGTCAGATTTTTGGTTTCGGTCCGATTAAGATAGCAATTCTGCTCCGAGTCTGATCCGATTGAAACTCACCTCTTTTTCTGTCTTTACAAGATCGATTTTGTTACCAACGACCACAATCGGAACTGCCCCTTTTGTGCTGTATATCTGGGCGCGGAGTGTTTTTACCTCGAGAAATGTGTTTGAATCATTTACGTCGTAAACTAAAATAAAGGCGCCAGCCGATTTGATATAAAGCTCTCTCATCGCAGGGAATTCATACCAGCCGGACGTATCGAGAATATCGAGTAATAAATGGATTCCAGAAACGTTGAAATTCCCATGATGCATCTCTTCGACAGTCCGCTTATATTTTGGGGTGAAAGTATTATACAGGAATTGATTAATGATTGCAGACTTGCCGACTTTTGCTGCACCCATCACTACAATTTTGTGCCGAACTGAACTTTCAGACGACTTTCCACTATCACTGTCCGATTCCGTTAGTTTTTCATTTCTGTAAGTACGTGTATATATTTGTTATTAATTTGCATATTGCTTTTTTTTTAAATCTTTCATATAATGAAATTTTTCTTCTTAAAGAAAAATACATTAATCTGCTTTGTTTCAATAATTCTTATTATATAAATAGTAATAGAGAGAGAGAGAGAGAGAGAGAGAGAGAGAGAAAGAGAGAGAGAAAGAGAGAGAAAGAGAGAGAATTCCGCGTATCATTTAAATTAATTAATTAAATTAAATTTATGACGGAAGAAAATTTTTTCGCATTACCTGACATTTTTTGTTGTTCCATCTTCCTGTCCTTCTTTCAAGTGTGCTGCAGGTTGTAAGCTGAAGCGACGGCGAAATTGATGACGCCCTTTCATTATTTATACCACAGAACTTCTAGTAAAAAAAAATTTACGTTTTATTTAAAAAAAAAATTTATTTAAAAATAAAGTTTATACTTTAACTAACTGTAAAGAACATTATATATCATACAATTTTTAATTTTAATTCTTATTTCAAATAATATATTGTAAACTTTCTCTTTTTCTCATTAATGTTTTCTCTGAAAGCGTGTTAACAATTGGAAAAAATTTCAAAAAGAAAAAATCCAAGTAAGGAAAGAATAATTAATGAAAATACATTGAGATAATTAAACATTTTCTACCGTCTCTAGTTTTACTAGATCTGCAAAAAAAAAGTAATGAAGTAAAGAAATTACCTCTTCTTATATATCTTATCTGCACAAGTTTATAATGACAAAAATATATAACTAGTATTTTCTTATTAATGCTGATTTACACATGTTGAATTATATTTTAATAAATTCATAATGTAATAAAACAATATTGATACGTATGATAAATAGTAATTGTAAATAAATAATAACATAAAATGTTTAATTGCATTATAATAATAATTGTAATAAAACGACAAGAAACCTATCATATGGCACTAATATATTTGATTAATATAAGCGAGTAGAAACTTATTATTGTTGATACGATTTATTAATGTTGATACGATTTACAAGGGGAGTTAGGAAATTTAGAAAATTCTGAAACGTTAGGTTGTGTGAAATAGAGTTTATCCATAATGTAGGACTATTTTTCGTTTGTGTTATTAATGGCATTTTATGTCTCCCACTATATAACTTTTATCTGAAATATTTTTCTCTAAAATGCACTATGCAAAAGATATTTTAGGGCAATTCAATTAAAACGGAACACCCTGTATACAAACTGTGCACATATATATATAT